AATATATCGATACTTGCTAGATTCCCCAACCATTCAGCTTTCATATGCATCTATTAGCTTCATTCTATCTATTATAGTTTTCGAGTAAATCAATGTGAAAACACTACTTTTGCGAACGTTCCAATTTCAATTTTTCAACTTTGAACGCGTATTACAGCAATATGGAGAAGAGCACAGGAATGTATCTATACTTTAGCAGATATTTGGAAAATTGCTCACTGCTACTAATATTCGCGCCTCCCCTTAGACTAGTGTACGCCTCACAGTTTGGAAAACGCTGCTTTAGTATATTGTCGTCTTGTTCCGCGAACGTTCTTTGCCTTTAGCCAATAATATCTACATATTGATTGTATTGTGTGTTTGTGCTGCATTCGGATCGGATAAATAGTATGGATCTCCGGATTTAAAGAGAAATTACGTATATCCTAGTCATCCGTCGCCGATACCGGCGTTTCAGATGCCCGGCCAATACAGTCCGAAATGCATTCCGTTGCAGGTATTTATTGTGATCTGTTCTGATAGCATCCATTCATTTGATTGGCTGATGCGGTGTTCGTATGTGTTTTGTATTTTTGTCCGTTTCATCACGTTTGCGTTTATTCAGGACCTGAAAAGCTCGACGACACACATGAGCCCGTTATCGGTGAGGGCTTCATCCAGAACGCAGGATTCGTCCTTCATCCAAGACCCCGACGAATCGGTAGTGAAAATCAGTTCGATGTTTCCCACCGTGTCCGAAACGCATATCCGTTTGCTTCTCAAAAAGTATGTCTTCTTTGCAGTCAAGTCAAGCCACTAACCAAACAAAAATACCATCATTCACTACGGAGATAAGGAACTACGTTCACCCAACCGGTTGTTTCACACGAAATGTCCCAAGCTTTATTTGGCGACAGTTTTGCTTGTGAAACAACCTACCTTCACTACTAATACCATTTTGCTTATTAACAACACTTTGTAGGTATCACAATCGAGAGGCTGTCGTGATTAGCGCTTTGCAAGTGGAGAAGCATCCAATTGCCACGCCGGGTCCTTTCGCAACGCCACCTCCGACGAGGAGCGCGAACGCACCTTTGTACATGTCTACACCACCTCTGGGGTTACGCAGTTACTCCAGAACGAGCAGTCCGATTCTAAAGACTTGCAGTTCCATCGCTAATAACTCTGTGTGCGAAGCTTACCGCAACTCGCCCAGACCCCATTCCTCGCCCAAACTCAAGCTAAGGTTACTAATATTTCTAACCGAAAACCATGCATCATCCGCTTCAACCACATGCTTTTAACCGCCGCGCCACGCCACCTCACGTTCTCTATGTATGTATTTCTAGATACATGAAATCCATTTTTCCGAAAGCCGAGGAGACGGTCATCCTGGACGTCCTTGCCAACAATGAGAACAACATCCAGAAGACGTCCGAATGCCTGAAGGGCATGGGTTTCGTCAAGAAGGATCCGGCCAAACTGAAGCAGGAGCTCGAGGATAAGGCCAAAGAGAGGGAGGAGCAGCAGCAAATTGCCAAAGCGGATTCTCCGCCGCCGATGCCAAAGATAAAGACGCAACAGGAGAAGGACAGCGTTAAGCTCAATCTGCTGGACTCGTACAGCGACATCCCGGAGCACGTCATCGGGATGGCACTGGACAGCGTCCACTTCGACGAAGATCGTGCCAAACAGATTTTGGACATCATGGTTCAAGAAGATAATAAGATCAAGGAGAACAACAGGAAGGATCAGGTGGAGGACGAGGTTATCGAGGTCACCTTCTTAACCGTCGTCAATAACGTGGCCTCGTCGCAGAGCAGGCAATCGCTCAAGTCGCTGCTCAAAGAGAAGCAGGACAACAGCAAAACTATCTACAACAGGTACGCGTGTGATCGTGCATTGTTGTATTTCAACTAGGTTGCTACAGCAACGAGAAAATCGATGCTACGCCTAATTAGAAAAGTAGTCGCTCTGACTAAGAGAGTATTTTCGGTTTGCAGAGTGATCGAGGAAAACAGCATGAATAATTCCGAGTACAAGTCGTCCAATTTATCCAGCACCAACGGATGCAATCCCGATTTTGCAAACGGCGCCAACCAAAAACTGCTGCTGTGAGTATTGATCGCTATTCATTCATTAAATATTCATCGGCGTCACGTTCTCTCTTTTACGCGGCCGCACATAATCATCATTAATCAATGAAACATAAACAAGTAAATAATTAAAAAAAAAAACCCACTTACAGCGAAGACTACGTGAACTGGCAAGGACCGAATCCGAAGTTGTCGAATGGACCAAACAGGAGTCTGCTATTACCGAGACGCGAAGCGTACAAAGCGAGCGGTGCAAATCCGGATCTCTGCAAGGGTCCGGTCTTCGGTCTTGCCAAAGGTAGTATTTTCTCGCAGCTCAAGAGCATGGCCATAGGGGAATCCCGCGGCAAATAACTCAATTGCAGCATTCTTTAATAAGTTCATTATTTTTTTTCTTGATTCTCTCATATCTCCACCATTTACTATCTATCTATCAGATTATATTTACGTATTGTTGAATCTTTATTATTACTATTATTATAATTGCAGTATTATTTGTAATCTATATAAATTTCATTAAGGTGCCAAATAGTATTTAGTGATTACCGTTTTTGTTATCGATTAAGTTTTTAATTCCATTCTTTTTTAATTTTTGTTTGTTGAACTTGCGAAGTAATGATGTTTTTAGAGAAACGTAGATTTAGAGAGTAAATCCCTGCCACACATATCTGAACAAGTACCTGTTTGTTTTATCAATGATAATAATTTAACAAAAAAGAAGAGATAGTTTTCTTTGAATTGAATTTAGTTTAATGAAAAATTTGGAGACTAGTTTTTGGATGTTTACACAACTGAATTTGGGCTGAAGGATCACGTGGAAAGAAGGTATATTGGCATTCTTTTTGTTATTCCGTTAAAACTTTTTCTGTTCGAAATAATTCAAATTATATAATTATAATGTGTAGTTGATCAATTGATAATTTCAGTGCAATTTTAGTTCCTAGTGTACTTTAGTTTAGTTTTATCTTTAGATTCGTTTAGTGAAGGAACATCTCGACCGGTTAGCTCCCAAGTAAACGCCAAGCATAGTAACTTGAGAGATTATTGAACTATCTGCAAATATAACTAGTTCAAAATAGCTCAAGAAACTGTCTTCGTGTAAAACGCAGAGGTTGCAAGTCGAGGAGTTTCTCAAGGCTGTGGGATAATGATTATGTTGTCGTGAACTGAATGCCGCCCATGTAGTCATCTTCTATGATACTACTACAAAAAAAATAAAATAAAACGTACCTACTAACTACATCGTGAACTATATCTATATCATAATAATAATATGTCCGGTATATCTATCATATTATGTATCACCACTTTATTACTTGTATAGATATGTAAATATTATATTTACATGTACGAGAAGAGGCAAAATATTTTGTACAATGTTTTTCGGAGATCTTTTTTCCAAAATTTATTATGTGTTGTATGTAGCGTGCGTGTTCAGGAAATTCCATAAAAGTTCGTCTGCCCCTAATATTTTTGTAATGACTTTATAATATATTATTATTGCCATAGACATGTGCATTGTAACAGAGTGTAGTTTACTTAATTTTTTCGTTGTTTTTTAGACAAGCAAAGATGTATGTATTCCTTACCACTGTGCATTTGATGTATTGAAAAACAAATATATGTATATTCAGAAAACCGAACTGCTTCTCATAACAAAATTAAAAACTAATAAAATTTCTTATATATTTAAACTTCGTCCTCATTGAGCAGCATGTTCGGAATGCCATTGTTGATTGGGAATTTGCGACCGGTTTCAGGACAGACCAGCTCACCATTGACAATGTCCACTTCCAGCAACACATGGTGCACCTTCTTCAGAAAATCATTGTCATTCTCGTACTCCTGCGAGAGCTCCTTAGGAAGATCATCAAGTTGGCCAATGGTGTCGGCCGCCTTCCACAGCACGCTCCAATCCAATTTCGGGATTATCCTGGATATGAATTCCGGATTGAAGTCAACCTCGGTGACCTTAATATCAACAACCTTTAAAGAATGTTCGTTTTAGATGGAAATTTTGTACATTTCAATGTTTACACTCACGTTTATCCCGAGTGGATATCCCACCGTGACTCCTTTCATACTCTTCGACGTTAACATGTTGTGTGTGAGCAGCTTCATCTTAACTAATTCCGACTTGTGTACGCTCCTCGCAGGAATCAAAACAACACTACTAACAATTTTGACTAGAAATGCAGGAGTCAAACCTAACCTCATCTACGAATGCGACACCATATATATA